CACCCCCAGCCCCTCACTGGGGGATTCTAGGCAGGTCCTCTAGCACTGAGCCACACCCCCAGCCCCTCACTGGGGAATTCTAGGCAGGGGCTCTACCACTGAGCCACGCCCCCAGTCCCCTCACTGGGGGATTCTAGGCAGGTCCTCTAGCACTGAGACACGCCCCTTTCTTTTTAGTGAGATTCAGGTCCTCACTAAGTTGCCTAGAAAAGACATGAACTCACTCTGTAACCCACACAGGGCTTGAACTTGTGATTCTCCTGCCTCAGCCTCACAAGAACCTGGGACTATAAACCTGACCCCATCAGACAGCACTCTAGACTACTCTTGTATGGAGATCAGCTCTCCAGGGTAGGAAGAGGTTCCTCACCCAGGAATTCCTCAACCCAAGGAAGTACCCTGGTCATGGAAACTTTCCACTCCCTCAGGTCTTCTTGGCTTAGCCAAGACTATTCCCTCAATCCCGGGGTTCCGCACCACACTGCCTCTCGGCAGAGAGGGATGCTGGGCAGCTTTAACTAACCGACCTCATTCGGGTGTCTGCTGCCTAGCACCTAGGGCAACCCTTGAAATCTATTGTGATAGTTTGAATATGACGTGTCCCCCAAAAGGCTCAAGTTTGGAGCTTGGTCCCCAGCTCACAGCACTATCTTGGGTGATTCTGGAAATGTTTCAAAATTGGGCCTAGCTGAAGGAAGCAGGGCTTAGTTGTATCTGGTCCTTTATCTCTGTCTGTCTTGCTCTCTTCCTGTTTGTCATGGGGTACAAGAAGTTTCTCTCATTGGGCGTCGGCTTTTGTTCCCAGCACTCAGGCACCAGAGATGGGTGGATATCTGTAAGAGTGAGTCCAGCCTCGTCTACCTAGAGAGTTCCAGGAGAGCCAAGGTTACATCTACCCTTACTAAAATGAAAACAAAACAGAAGATTCTCTGTAGCACAAATTCTAGTTGTTCTTAATAATAACCCAGAGACAGATACCGGGGCTAAAGCTGAAGATCAGAGAAGCAAAGCGGCCAGCCACTAGAGAG